AAGCTCTACTACAAAGCAGTAATAATCAAAACAGCATGGTACTGGAACAAAGGCAGAGTTGCAGACCAATGGAACAGAGTTGAATATACTGACATCTCCTCCCAAACATATAATCATCTAATCTTCAATAAGGGGGCAAAAAAGTGAAATGGAGCAGGGAAAGCCTCTTTAATAAATTGTGCTGGCAAAACTGGATGGCTACATGCAAAAAAGTGGGCTCAGATCTCTGCCTAACGCCATGCACAAAAGTAAGATCGAAATGGATTTATGACCTCAACATCAGACCGGAATCCATAATGTTTATTGAAGACAAAGTTGGCAAAACTCTCCATGATATTGAAGTTAATGGTATCTTCAAAGATGTCACGCCACTGGCCGAGCAAGTGAAAACAGAGATAGACAAATGGGACTATCTTAAACTAAGAAGCTTCTACACCTCAAAAGAAACAGTGACCAAAATACAAAGACAGCCTACAGAATGGGAAAGAATATTCACCAAATACACATCCGACAAGGGGTTGATATCAAGGATATCCAAGGTACTGGTTAAACTACACAAGAAGAAATCACTCAACCCCATCAAAAAATGGGGCGAGGAAATGAACAGAAACTTTCACAAAGAAGAAATCCGAATGGCAAAAAGGCACATGAGAAAATGCTCTACATCACTAATCATCAGAGAGATGCAGATCAAAACAACAATGAGATATCATTTCACACCACAGAGACTGGCCCACATCGACAAGAACAAAAGCAACCGGTGCTGGTGCGGATGTGGCGAGAAAGGGACCCTCCTTCACTGCTGGTGGGAATGCAGGCTGGTCCAACCCTTTTGGAAAACAGTATGAACGATTCTCAAAAAATTAGAATTTGATCTTCCATTTGACCCAGCTATAGCACTCCTGGGAATATATCCCAGAGAGGCAAAAAGGTATAGTCAAAGTGACATCTGCAATTGTTTGTTCATTGCAGCACTCTTTACAATAGCCAGAATCTGGAAAAAACCTGAGTGCCCGAGAACAGATGACTGGTTAATGAAACTTTGGTACATTTACACAATGGAGTACTATGTAGCTGTTAGAAAAGATGAAGTTATGAAATTTACATACAAGTGGTACTACATGGAAAGTATCATGTTAAGCGAAATGAGTCAGAAAGAGCGGGATAGACACAGAAAGATTGCATTCATCTGGGGAACATAAAGCAACAAAACGGGAGACTAACACCCAGGAATGACTGAGATTAGTTAGTACCAGGAATCTTGCTCCAGCCACAGGTGCTAGGTGAAAAGGAAGCTCAGATAGAGAAGAGAGCACCAAATAAAGGGTGTTGTGAAGACCCGCCCAGGTTGGGAGAGATGTGCTAAAAGTAGTCTATAGACCAAACATGATTGTCACTCAATGCCTCTCTTGCAAAACACAGTACCCAATAGAAGAGAGAGAGAACAAGGGGGAATGCCCTGCCACAGCGGCAGGGTGGGATGGGGGAGGGGATGGGGGGTGGGAGGGATGCTAGGACCCGTGGTGGGGGAGGATGGGCAGTGGTGGAGGGATGGGTACTTGATCATTGTATAACTGAAACCCAAGCACAAAAATTTATAAGTCTATAACTGTACCTCATGGTGTTTCACTAATTAAAAAATGATAATAAAAAAATTAGTAGATGGAAAAGTGAAATAATTAATTTTTTTAAAAAAACCCTAAAATATCAAAGAAACTTATGAAAGCACAGGAAGCATATTAGAACATCTGGGAAAAACCCAATTACTATTTAAATTCATCACAGAGCTTTGTAGGTTGTGAAAGAAAGAAATATGTAATTTCATTTAATAATCCATGCTATGAAGAAAAGCCAAATAAGGCGAAGCCTTGGGAAGTGACTTCCCAGAGTAAACTATTTCTAGGTCAGGAAAGATCTGAGAGAGATAAAAGAAACAAGACTCCTCAGCTTCTTATCTTGAGCAAGAAGAGATTGAGCAGAGAAGTCACTAGAGAGGAAACAAAGAGTCAGTCTGTGAGTTGGGAAGAGCAGCAAAGTGGGGGCTGGTGCTCCAACAAGGAGGTCATGACCAATGGTGAGACGAAGAGTGTTTGGTTAATTTACTCAAATATCCTTCCCAGACCTGGGAAGCTCAGCCCACCGCAGGCTTTATGTTAAGAAGAGGGGCTGCCGTCTCCACAGTCACCTCTCCACCTACAGAGCAGAGCAGAGTGGCTAAGTGCAAACTAAGGCTAGAGGACCCGAAGGAGAATCCTGGCTCCATCTCCTTCCAGCTGTGAGCTTTGAAATATTGAACAAATTACTTAACCTCTCTGCCCTGGCTGCACATACAACCTCTTGTTTCCTCTGGATGTTGTGATGAAATATTTAATATATACTGTGCACTGACAATGTATTTGGCATATAATGACCATACAAGTCTTTGTGAAAATGTAGAAAGCACAGGTAGAAAAAGTGGAAAGCACAAGTTTTCCAGTGAAATACTCACTTGCATTCTCAACTCTCGAAAGTGCCATAAAAAAATGAGAGAGTGAAAAAGAGGAAGACATGCAGCCAACCCGGGTTCGAATCCCAGCATCCCATACGGTCCCCCAAGCACCTCCAGGAGTGATTCCTGAATGTAAAGCCAGAGATCTATAACATCAGGGTGGCTGTAGACTTTACGTAATTGAACTCTAATCATCACCACTGCAAGGGTAATTATATACTCATAAGAAGATGGCATGAGATAAGCCTTCACTGAAACTTGTCCAGTGCTTGAATCTGGCTATCTGGGATTTAAGGTGCATAATCGCATCAGGTTTTATTTCAATCACTGGGAGTAACGCACTTATGTTTAAAAGACAGTAAGTTAAATGCCCACAGACTTAAAAAATTTGTTTCTCTTGAATTATGCTCTTTTCTCTTTTCGATCTAAAAGAACCTCAGATGGAAAATGACAATTATAAATACTTTTTGTATTTACTTTGACAAAAGAAGATACAGCAGAATACATTTTTGGTGCTAGGTGTTATGAGCTGAGCAAACACTTTTTGTGTAAAATACTGAAGCACATGTTTGGATGATTGTAAAAGTTTATGACTCTTGCTGTAAATGATAAAATACATATACGTGCAATGATTAAACAATGACAGTGATACAGTAAATATTCGAAGATAAAAGGCAGAGCTCACTGCTGGTAAAAATCCTTTATGAATAACATTCTTTTTTTTATCTGGGTCTGGGTAAAGGGTGTCATTACAATGATTAAATTTTAGTGCATGCAAAAATTCAAAGATTTCTCTCTTATGTGAATTTCACTAGAGAATTACTATAGAAAGTGCCACAGAAGAATGAGAAACTGAAAAAGATGAATACTTGAGATCCATAAAACCAGATTCAATACAAAAGAACAGGGGTCAAGAGATAGCTCATAGGGCTGAAGTGTATGACTGGCATGCAGGGGTCCTCTTGTGGCCTCTGACACCTCCCCAGGGTCCCAAGAACACTGTTGGCCAGCCTCCCTCACCCACCTTTCCCCAAAAGGATAAGGGTAAGTCCTTTGACAGCTCTTCAGCAGGACTAAAGGGTCACTTGCAGGGGTTGGAGCAAGAAAAGTGAGGTGTGAGCTTGAGGGAAAAGGAAGACAAGGGATCTGATGTGCTTTGGTGTTTCATCTGATGTGACAGGTTTGAAGGAGCATCTGGGCCAAAGCAACGGGCGAATTAAAAATATCACTACCAATAAAAACAAACAGAAAAAACAAGGTAGCTGTATTTTAAAATATGAAGAAAGAAAGATATCGTTGCTAAAGGGAAGATTACAACATTGTACTGAATAAAACTAGGTAGGATAGGGGCCGGTGCAATAGCACAGCTGCTGGGGCATTTGCCTTGCAGGCAGCCAACCCGGGTTCGATTCCCAGCATCCCATATGGTCCCCCCAGCACCTCCAGGAGGATTTTTTTTTTAAGTTGGAAGTATTACACCTGGCAAGCGAGACACAGGGGATAGTGTTTGTGGAAAGCCTGGGTAGGAACTGCCTCCTTAAAGGAGCGTCGTGGGCGCCCCAGAGCCGCGCCTGGAAACGGCCGGGCGGCGCGCGGCGGCTGCGCGGGGTCTGGGACCATGGCCGCAGCTCCGGGTAGGGAAGCGGCGGCAGAGACGCCGCGCGGGGCCCCGGGACCCTCCCGGGGAAGGGGGCGGGGGCGCAAAAGCCTAAAAGGGCGGGGCGGGGCGGGGCGGGCGGGGTCGGGCGGGCGGGAGCCGCGGGCCCGGGGCCGGGGCGCGGCCGGGACTCGCGCCGCCTCCGGGCGCCCCAGCCGGACGGCGGAGGCCGCGACTGCTTCCGAGGTCACCGCGCCGGGAGGCGGGGCGGAGCGGCGGGCGGGCAGGTGGGGCCGTCATGACGGGCCTCTGCCGGACCCCCACGCGGGGCCACTGCTGGATTTTGTCTTCGTGGCTACGCGGGGCGGTCGTGCCCGCGCGCCTGCCCGGGCCGCGCCTTCTCCTCCCCCGCGCCGCGCGGGGCTCCGAGCACTGTCGGCCGCTGTCCAGCGCGCGCCGCCGCGCCTGTAAAGTCCGGGTCCTGCGGGGTGGAAACGCGCGCGGCCCCTCCCCGGCTGGGCGGTGGCTCAGGGGCGCGGACAGGGGCCGGGAGGGCGGGAGAGACGGACAGACAGACAGACAGACAGAGAAGTCGCGGCTCGGCGCAGCAGCAGCGCGGGAACGCGGGGGCGAGTCCATTTGGGTTGGGGCTGCGGGGGGGCGCGTCGGTTGCAGGTGGGCGAGGAACCCGGCAGTTCCCGTCTCCCTTGGGTCCGGGCGCTGCCCTGGCCAAGCCTCAGCGGCCTCTCCTAAATCTGCCCTGGCAAAGGGGTCCCCCACCCACCCGCACCCCAGTTTTGCAACTCGAGCCTCCTCCCGCCCCCCGCCCGGAGCCGCGTTGAGCCCGTCCGGCGGGAGGGCCGCGCGCTCGGCGGGAAATTTCGAGCCTGGCGCTCAGCGGCTTCTCCCTCTGCTTCCGTTCCGGCGCTCTCGGCGGCTCCGCTCGCGCCCCTCTCGCCATGCCCTGCTCCGAAGTGACCCAAGTCGCCTCCCCCAGCAAGCGGGCGCGGCCGGCGGTGGAGGAGCCCCTGCGGCTGCGCTTTGTGCGGCTCTCGGAGCACGCGACCGCCCCGACCAAGGGGTCCCAGCGCGCCGCGGGCTACGACCTGTACAGGTGAGTGGGGACCCCCGTGCCGGAGCCCACCTGTCCCCGCGCGTCCTGCGGAGAAGAAGCCCCCCTCCCTGCTTCCGAAGCCCGCTTGGTCCTCCTTGCTTTGACTCCAGTCGCCCGCTGCCCCAGCTTTGGGGACTCCCAAGTTTGCGGGGGGAAAAGATGAAGGAAAAAAAAAGGCGGGTGAGGACCAGACTTAATAACTACTCTGATTGACCGGCAAAACCCGTGCTATTAAAAAGTTTTAGAAAGAGTGGCTGAAGTGATAGCACAGCAGGTAGGGCGTTTGCCCTGCACGCGGCCGACGGAGTTCGATTCCCAGCATCCCGTGTGGTCCCCCAGCGTCGGCCAGTAGTGATTCCTGAGTGCATGAGCCAGGAGTGACCCTGTGACCCAAAAAGCAAAAATGAAAATAAAAAGGAACACGTAATTTACAAACAGGAGGTGAATTTTTAAAAGTTGGAAGAATTGGAAAAAAGAAACAGGAAAAAAAAACCCAAACCAGTGTACAGCTCTTTTTACAGGCAGCTGCTAGGGTCTCTGCCCATTTTCCCTGTGAGCGCACCCCCAGCCCCTAGCTCCAGTTTGGGCCAGGAATTGAATCCAGGTGTAATGCATGCACAGCTTGGACTTTCCTGCGGATCCAGCACCCTCTATTTGAGCGTTTTTTGCTTCCCTCTGTCAGGCAGGTGGGTTTTGAGGCCACATCCAGCGGTGCTCAGAGATCACACCTGGTGTGGCCGAGGTGGGGGTAGAGGCATGTGATGCAAGACGAGCAACCCCCACGCTGTACCATCTCTCAGGCCTTAACTTCCCTTCTTAGCATGAATTCTGCAGGGATTGGTACAGATGGGACCGGAGTGTCGGATTTAGTCTGTTAGTCTGTTATTTGTCTTGCAGTATGGGTTGGATGACTAAGGCCCACCCAGGCTTTGGAAGGAGTGGCCTGAGTGTTTTGGGAGTCAAGGGGCCTGAGTCTGAACATCATTAAGATGAATGAAAGCTGGTTCAGCTTTAAAGGGTATTTAGCAGTAAATTCAGTTTCTTAAAGGGAATTAAAAATTTCCCTAGTTCACTCTAGACACTGGAACTCTCAGAAAGGGCCTGGCTCTGAGAAGCTAAAAAGTATGCTAGTACCTTTCATTTGTACAGCACTTCTTTTTCATTTGTACCCAAATTCTTCTCAGGTTATTTTATGTAGTCCTGAAATGCATGAGTTTCTGAAGAACAAAATTCTATGCTTGTTCCCCTTTCCCCCCTGATTACTCTTGGGGCCCATATCTTTAGAACCATGTAGGAAGTTGTAAAGAGAAGTGAAAAAGGAGAGAAGGAGTGGTTATTATGTGTTAAGTCCATTGGTACATTTTCTGCTAATGTACCAATTACAGTTTGCATACTGATGTCTGGGTGCAGAAGGCAGAGAGAAGTGTGTGATTAGTATTGTAGAAAGACACGAAAAGCAGGGTGCCTTAGAACTAATAGCAATCACGTGCGGGTCTTCATTTTTATGGATGTAGCCCAGTCTCTGCTGGGCTTTGCTGTGAGTCCTGGGAGGGACTCCGATTTCAGGTAACTGAAGCATCTTCCCAATGAACAAAAGTGCCTGTCACTAAGTGAAACAGGTGTGGAGATAGCCCATCTCTTCATGATCATCCATTTCCTCCCCAGAGAAGTTCATGGCCACAGACCGCGCCCTTTTGTGAACTGCCAGCGACACCTTTGACAGATGACTTTCTGTTTCTTTTCTTAGTCTTTCTAGAGGATTATTGTAAGACTAAAATGAGGGACATAAAGTAGTTACATCTGTGCCTGGATATAGTGGAAAAAAATGTTACCTCAGGGGCCAAAGAGCTAGTACAGCAGGTAAGGCTCTTGCCTTGCACACAGCCTAGCTGGGTTTGATCCCCAGCATCTCATATGGTCCCCCAAGTACCACCAGGTGTGATCCCTGAGCACAGAGCCAGGAATACACCCTGAGCATTGCAGGATGCGGTCCCCAAACCAAAGAATAAATAAATGTTACCTTATTATTCCCCTCTCAGAGAGCCCGGCAAGCTACCGAGAGTATCTCGCCCCCACAGCAAAGCCTGGCAAGCTACCCATGACATATTCGATAAGCCCAACACAGTAACAAGAAGTTTCACAATGGAGATGTTACGGGGCCCCCTCAATCAAATCGATGAACAAAGGGAGGGCAGTGCTACCTTATTATTAGCTATTTTATTTATTGTTTGCCAAGCATCCAAAAGTTCAGGGGCAACTTTCATGTTGGCATTTATTTTATGAAAAAAGTTCCTGGAGAGTAACTTCTGTAAAGCTCGTTTTAATAATTGACCCGAAAGGGGGGAAAAAATCTAGTGCATTGGACCCTCAGCTAGGTTAGTTACAAAATTCTGTGGTTGCATAGGGACACATTTAAGGCAATTCTGTTTATTTGAAAGGGAGAGAATGTAAAAATGATATTAGGACTAAATCCTGTTTATTTTCTTTCAATATCTTCCTAGTGCCTATGATTATACAGTACCACCAATGGAGAAAGCCCTGGTGAAAACCGACATTCAGATAGCTCTTCCTTCTGGGTGTTATGGAAGAGTAGGTAAGTGATTTAAGACACAAGTAACCATTTTTCGTGCTCTTCGAGGACTCCTTCACCCCCCCACACTCCCCATGCATGTGGTACCTTTGTGATGGTTTTGTTCTTGCATGCTACACCTTATCCACCACGAGAGCACAGAGATCTCTCCACCGTTATCCCAAGATTTCCCACTCTGTAGCACCCTATTTATATTGGAGAGGTCAGAATTTATCACGAGCAGAATTACACTCTGACAGCCTTGGGGTGGGAACCTAGATTACTGTCCTTCGCTAGCAGTTTAGCCTTTTAAAGAAAAATGAGGTGAACTCCCTCTATTGCATTGACAAACATGTTTAAAGAATGTATGGGAAACAAATCAGGAAATAAAGTATAGGCAGGGAGGGGGCTGTGTTTATGGACAAGGTGTTGGATTTAAGTTAAAAATTAAGAGGGGTGGGGGTGGGAGGGATACTGGGGTCAGTGGTGGTGGAGAATGGGCACAGGTGGAGGGATGGGTATTCGATCATTGTATAACGGAAACCCAGGCACAAAAATTCGTAAGTCTACAACTGTATCTCATGGTGTTTCACTAATAAAAATTTTTAAAAAAATAAAGAGTGGGCCTGATGCCTAAGTAGGTACAAAGTGTGAACTTAGCTTTTGTTATTTTGTTGTTGTTTTGTTTGGAGACTAAAAGCATAGTGGAGCTGATTTTTTTAATTTAGTGAACACACCATGAGGTACAGTTGTAGACTTACAAATTTTTGTGCTTGGGTTTCAATTATACAATGATCGAGTACCCATCCCTCTACCAGTGCCCATTTTCCACCACTGCTGATCCCAGTATTTCTCCCAACCCCCATCCCTCCATCCCACCCTGCCTCTGGCAGGGCATTCCCTTTTCTTCTCTCTCTCCTTTTGGGTGCTGTGGTTTGCAAAAGAGGCATTGAGTGGCAGTCATGTTCGGTCTATAGTCTACTCCCAGCACGCATCTCCCATCCTGGGAGGATCCTCCCAACACCCTTTATTTGGTGCTCCCTTCTCTCTCTGAGCTGCCTTTTCCCCTAGCATGTGTGATTGGCATCCAACCCATGGAGTAAACCGTGGAGCTGAATTTTTAAGTTTGAGTTTACTCCAGTCTCAGGGATTACTCCTGGCTCTAGCCCCCCGGGCTCAGGGGACCATATGAGGTACTCGGAAGCGAATGTGGGTTGGATGTGTGCAAGTTAAGCACCTGACCGGCTGGACTATCGCTCCATCCCCCATGTTACACTTTATAAACTATTCTTTCCTACGCTAATAATCCATGATAATGAATGTATTCTTTAATGAATATACTTGCACTAGAGGAAATGAGAGTGATGTCCTTACAATTTTGTGTTTTGTGTAATAATGAGTGTTACCCCCTCATCTTAAATAGCCAATTTCTCCTTTTGTATTTTTTAGCTCCTCGTTCTGGCTTGGCTGCAAAACACTTCATAGATGTTGGAGGTAACATATTTATGTTTTTATTTGAAAATTTTTGTAACTGTTTACTTTGCTGTTGCTTAGGAAACAGTTATCAGTGACAGGTTGTACTTTTAACTTCTAGAAAAGGAAATGAGTTCCTTTTTGTCCTGCATCCTTGGAAATTTTTCCATCTCTGAAATGACGGTCATCTAGCTTCAAATATTATTTGGATTATGTCTAATTTTCAAATGACCATTCTGTGAAATAGGCATGCTCTTAATGGGCCAAAATAGATACTGCACGGTGAGTGGGAGTTTTGCTTTGGCTTAGTGGTAAACTGTATTTTGTCCCCAAAATAGCTATTTTAGGAGAAGATTTATTATTGTAGGGGACAAAAAAACCCTTGGGGTTGTTTAAGAAAAAGCATTTTACTTTAGTAATTATTAAATAGTTACATAGGCAAAAGAGTCTAGAAAAGATCCGAGGGAGACTTTGTAGGAAGAACCTCCTTCCCTCCATGAGAGAACTCCTCTTGTTTGGCAAATTAGGGAAGAAGTTGCTCTTAAAGGTGGGAAAGCTCCGTGCTCCTGTCATTGCACCTGGCTGGCAAGACTCAGTAGCGTGTTTCCCTGACAACGGTCTTTGCTCTTGACCCAGCTTTTTTATGGATCCCTCTAAAAAGGTGCCATGGTGTTGTTTTGCGTTGCTTTTTAAATTTCACGAGAGAGATGTGGTTAGGAACCACAAAATTAAGATTATAATTAAGTGTCAAAGAGAAAAGTTGAATCTGTAGGATTTCTTTCAGTGTTCACATCTGGACGGTATGGAGAGTTTTCACTAAAGGTTTCCAATAAAAGACATGCCAAAGTCTTGACACAGTAAAACTTTTGCCTGAAGTCAGTTAATCATTCTGCCAATTCCAATGCATGTTTTTTTCCAGTGATAACTTCACAATACTGTTTTTTGCCTTCTCATGAAGAGAAAGAATCCTTTCCATTGAAAAGGGTAAATCTTGGGACTTCCTAAGTCATTTTGTGAGTAAGAAATAAATTTGGAACCTGGCAAGCTACCGAGAGTATCTCGCCCCCATGGCAAAGCCTGGCAAGCTCCCCGTGGCGTATTTCATATGCCAGAAACAGTAACAGCAAGTCTCATGATGGAAATCTTACTGGGCCCGCTTGAGCAAATCGATGAACAATGGGAGGACAGTGCTACCAACATTCATGCTAAAAAAGGTATTGAGCACTATTTTTCTGCCATTTATTCTTTTTTTTTTCTCTTTGGGTTACACCCAGCGATCTCCTGGCTCATGCACTCAGGAATTATTCCTGGTGGTGCTCGGGGAACCATACGGGATACTGGGAATCGAACCCGGGTCGGCTAGCAAACTCCTTTACAAAAAAAAAAGTGTTTTTGTGTGGTAGCATATACTATATAGTTAAAACAAAGAACAACAACTTGCAAATTATATGGAAAGGATTTAGCGCCAGAGAGCTAGCTCAGAGAACTGGAGGACGTGCTTTACATGTGGAGCCCTAGGTTAGATCCCTGGCACCACAGTGGTCTTCAGTACTGCTGGGACCAACCCCTATGGCTCAGAAACCAAAAAAAAAAGAAAAAAAGAAATTAAATATCCAAATAGATAAGAAAGTAAAATACAGAAGATCATATGCAAACATCTGATAAACATGGAGGGGGAAAAATGTAGTTTTGTTGTCAGAAACGCATACAAGCGCCGGGATGTATGGTTTTTTCACTCCTCACGTTTTGCAGAATTAAAAGGAAGCCATCTGGCAGGATGTTGGAAATCGTTTTTCTTAAATATCAGTGAAATTTTAATTACATACCTGCCTTTCAAAGGTACATAGCAACATCCATTAAAATGTTTACTATAAAATAGGCACATTGACTTGGGAATATGCATTTTAGAACCAGTTTATTTATTTGGGGCAGAGCCTGAGCCATACCCAGCAGTGCCTGAGCTATGCAGTGCTGGCCTGGAGCCAGGGTCGGCCACATGCAAGGCAAGTGCCCAAACCTCTGTACTGAGTCTCCACCCTGGTACTCATTTGAGGAGAATAAAAAGTGCTAATACTAGAGAACTTCTGTAAAAGGTTTTGTTTATTATAGCCAAAGTTATAGTCACCTAAAGGTGATAATTACCTGGGGTATAGCTGCACAGTATAGAGTCATACTACATAGAAATTGTGGTACTTTTATTTCTGTGCGTTGGATCTAAAAAAAATCGACTGACTTTTATATTAATCTCAAAGATGTTTATAGTATTTCAAATAGAAAAAATGTCACTAAGTATACAAAATAATATATATGTCACTGTAACATTGATTACCGTAGGGAGGATTAGGGGAAACATTATTAGTTTGTATTTTATAGATATTTGTGCTGCTTGGGAATTTGTTTTCTAATAGTAACAAGATAGTTAAAAGTCAGTTCCACTTTGTCTTGACTAACATATTCTAGGTAAATGAGTCCTGGCTTATATATCTGCTCTCTCCCAAGGAGACTCCATACATAGCCTTTATTACTCATCAGTGACATAGACGATTATCATTGTTATCTTGATGTTATTCCCATTCATACATATACACGAATAACATATTCTGTTGAGGGCGGGTCTACATTACGCTTTACCTGATTCATTGTACAGTCAAAATTTCATGTGATTAATGAAGTAGCTGGTTCCATCTTCATATTCTTTCCATAAATAGTAAGGATGAGATTAATGGCTAGCTGGCAGTGGGGAAAAGAAACCAGATTTCTGTATACTTTACATTGATCAGCACTCAAAAAAAAATTGGTCAATGTTTGGTGCTCTGCAACTAGAAAAAAAATATTGTTTCAGTCTTGACATGTTATGAACTACCTCTGCTGTTTTTTTAACCACTTTTGTACCATACTTTTTACAGTTCTTTATCTTTTTATAGTTCTTTATCTTTGGACCTAGAGATCTGTCTCATTGGTAAAGCACCTGTCTGGCATTTGTGGGGCCTTGAACTTGATCCTCGGAACTTTCTCCTGTGCCTGGTGTGATACCAGGAGCTGTACTATCCATGATCCACAGTACCACAACAAAATGTGTGCAGTTTCCAGCAGTTTGCAACAAAGTGTGTGTAGACACCACAACTAAACTATATGACCCCTTACCATGAGAACAGCACAGAGAAGGTGGGCTAGTGCTCAAACATTTTCCTCTAATTAATTTTTTATAATTTAATTTCTTTAATTCTCTCTAAAAGGTTATGTCAGGAACCTTTCAAGAGTTGCTTAAATCTCATTCCACTTATCTTTCATTATTTATTCATAAAGCACATGAATTCATTTAAATTTCTATGATTCACTGGAAAAATTTGCATATTTTCTTCTGAGTATTTCCCCCTGTCAATGAAAGTTGTTTTTTGTTTTGTTCCAGTTTGCTTTGTTTTCCCTGTGAGAAAACCAGAAGAGAATACTTACCCTCATATTTAAAAAAACAAAAAAGGTTTTAGAGGTTGGAGAGAGTACAGCAAGTAGGGTGCTTTCTTTGCACACAGCTAACCTGGGTTCAGTCCCTGGCATCCCTCATAGAGCCCCACCAGGAGGGATCCCTGAGCTCAGAGCCTGAGTAATTTAACCCGGAGCACAGCTGGGTGTGGCCCAAAAATCAAAAAATTTTTTTTTTGCTTTTAGTTGATCAACCAATATTTTAGACTATTTTTTATTGAGCTAAATTCCTGATTGTTTTTATTCCTTTTTTCAGTAACTGCTTTTTTTAATGGAGGTAGATTTCAGTAAGAGATTCAGTGTACTGGGAGCTGGAGCGATAGCACAGCGGGTAGGGTGTTTGCCTTGCACGCAGCCAACATGGCTGACACAGGTTCGATTCCCAGCATCCCGTATGGTCCCTGAGCACCACCAGGAGTAATTCCTGAGTGCATGAGCCAGGAGTAACCCCTGAACATCGCCGGATGTGACCCAAAAAGCAAAAAAAAAAAGATTCAGTGTATCGTGAAACCTCATTTAATTTGACTCTACATGAAATGCAGCATTTTAGAGAGTTAAGGAATTGACAGGTATGAAAGGAAATGGGCAGTTGGGCATGGGGTGGAGAATGACTACCAGTGTTCTCAAATTGATTGTGATGATGTTTGCACAGCTCTGAATGCTCTTAAAATAGTGAATTCTGTACCATCAGCCTTATCAAGGCAATGAGAAGGCCTGCTCACCTATATACCTGCGCCTCTTTGTTTAGCAAATTAAATGCCTGGGCTCAAAATAAATGTTCATTAGTAGCTCTCCAGGCTAGGCCCTGGCAGGACCCTGCCTCAGGTTTCATTTCTGCAAAGGTTTACTGCTACCTTGCTGATAGTTTCAGGCAGGCATAGATTTTACAGTTCTTTGGAACAGTGTATTCACGTCAAACTGATGTGATGATTTCTCTTAAGAACAAATGGTGGTTCAAATTCAGCAGCGAGGAATAATACGAAAGGAAAAGTTCCCCACTCTTTTCATTAAAGAATGGAGTGTTCTAATATTTGCCAGATTGCCACTTATCAATGTCAGTGCTGGCTTATTCCACGGAAGATCTCCAGGCATTTTGACACTTTTATTTATGATTTAATCATATTTCGTCTGGATATTCATGGGAAACTGCTACTGGGATAAACCTTTCAAACCCAAATCATAATTTTCTCCTAGAATTCTTGGCAGGCATGTGGTAGATGAGACAGATTGGGAGGGGAATTCAGAGTGATCCGCTCCTGAGTAAGTGCTTGCCCCCAGGTGACGACAGTAGCAGATGGTCTTCAGGACTCAGGGTTAGGGACCATGACGTTTTTCTCACTGTAGTCTATTAGTAATACAAGTCTTAAGTTTTGAGGCTTTACCTGGTGCCCGAGCAAAAGATGCATACTCAATTGTAAGTGTAAGAGAGCTTAGTTCTGGAAGACAGATCTGACAGCGTCCATCTCCTTCATGTTCGTAGCGTACAACAAATTAATGTTCTTTTCCTTTTCCTTTCAGCTGGTGTCATAGATGAAGACTACAGAGGAAATGTTGGTGTAGTATTATTTAATTTTGGCAAAGAAACATTTGAAGGTATGTTAAATACATGGGCTCACATAAAAGTAGTTTCTGAGTTATTTATGTCAAATACTAATCCTTCTAGTTCCCATAGAGCAGGGCAGGATAGAGACTGTATCGATTAAGTAATCTCATTTTGTTTCTTTTCTTTTAAAGTCAAAAAGGGTGATCGAATTGCACAGCTCATTTGTGAACGCATTTTTTATCCGGAAATAGAAGAAGTTCAAGTAAGTATCCCAAAAAGCTGAGTAAAGAGAACAGGATATAAGACTTAAAGTGAAGGGAAATTGTGGAGCTTTATAAGCAAGTACTATCAGTGACTAACCTTACTATAATTAAAATCATAGTTTTAGAAATTTTTGTGTTCTTCAGAAATATTATATACCATCCTTTTTGAGCAAATATACTAATCATTTAGAATGGAATTCTCATCATTTCCTTATTTAGCAGTTGTGGAGTATTTTTCAGATTGATTTTTGTAATTAAAGTGTAAAAATGTTAGAAAATGGGAGCTGGAGAGAATGGGATGAGGATTTGAAATTCACTCTGATTTGCCTTTTATATCTTCAAGGATTTGGAGGACACAGAAAGAGGCTCAGGAGGTTTTGGTTCCACTGGAAAGAATTAAAAATTGCTTCAAGAATAGAAAGTGAGAAGATGTTATTTTTTTGTTTAAAATAATAAAGTTTTTTGTTTAAACTGCTTTTGTGGTTTTCCTCTTCTATAAATGTAATAGTTTCACTTTCAAAAGTTATTTGGATATAATGTGCTCTGTGGAAGGTACATTTTATGTCACCAGAAATTTTGTGTATTTCTACATATGTATGTTGACCTAATGTAGATTTTCATTTTACAATCAAATGTGTATCAATTACATCCCCCATGATTATTTACTAAATGTTACATTCAGAAAGTTTTTTCTTATATTTTATTTGAACTTCTGTATAAATCATAAGCAAATCCTTTTAGTAGATGTAGATTCTTTAACAGGAATTATTACACAATTTGAAGTAAGACTTCAATAAATATAAATTTATCACAAATACAAATTATATACATAAATCTAAAAGATAAGTTATAAAGCAATACATTGCTCAAAAAAAATTTTTTTATGTAGGAGTACTGCTATTTATTCAGCCACTGATTAGCTGTTGATTTGGGTGTGAACTCAATCTTTTTTTTTCATAGTTTTATTTATTTTCTTCTTATATTTATTTATTGAATCACTATGGGAAAAGTTACTAAGCTTTCAGGTTTAAGTCTCAGTCACACAATGATCAAACACCTCTCCCTTCACCAGTACTCATTTTTCACCACCAAGAACCCCAATATACCCCCCTCCCACCCCTCCCAATGCCTGTGAGGCAGGTGATTTCCACTTAACTCTTCTCTACATTGATTACATTCATTATTTCGACAAAAGATGCACCATTATTGTTTAGAATTTCCCCCCCAACAATCAGAATTGCTGAAAAGGCATTGTGAAATACTTTGTTTTCTATAGCTGGTTATGAGAATCATACAATCTCACATGGCCACAAGAGCGGCCTCACGGTTTTGGATTTCTGCAAAGAGCCAGATAATCAAGAGATTGGTTTCTGTGTGTCTGGTGTTATGGCTGTGCCGGAGAGCTGCTCATGGGGGGCAACTCAGTAGGGTGCAAAGGACAAGCCGGTACTGCCCCCTTCCCATGAGACCGCAGCTGCCCCATCACTGCTGGTTCCCATACCTGGCTTTCCAATAACCTCTGAGGCAGTGGCCACCGAGGCCGCTGCGACCACCTTGCTGCTTGGGGGGGGGGGGGGAGAGGCAGAAGGGAGCAACACCCTTTCCCTCCTGGGGAGGCATGGTGCCGTAGTTTAACGCACGGTCCATCACTTTTCTGCCACAAGCTGCCGGGCTCTGGACTAAGTTCTTTTGCCTCTTGGAGCCATGGCCATGCTGGAGAGCCGCTCGTGGGGAGCAACTCATGACCTTGGTAGGGCGTGAAGGACGAGCCAGTACTGCCCCCCTTCCCATGAGACTGCAGTTGCCCCATCCATCACTGCTGGCTCATACCTGGTTTTCCAATAAGCTCTGAGGCAGCAGTCACCTTTGCTGCCGTTGGGGGGGGGGGGGGGGGGATGCGGAAGGGAGAAACACCCTTTCCCTCCTGGGGAGGCATGGCACCTTAACGCATGGTCCATTCACTTTTCTTCCGCAAGCTGCCAGGCTCTGGACTAAGTCCTTTTGCCTCTGGAACCATGGCCGTGCTGGAGAGCCACTTGTGGGGGGCAACTCGTGACCTCGGTAAGGCGCGAAGGACGAGCCGGTACTGCCCCCCTTCCTATGAGACTGTAGTTGCCCCATCCATCACTGCTGGCTCATACCTGGTTTTCCAATAAGCTCTGAGGCAGCGGCCACCTAGCTACCACGGGGGGGAAAAAGGTGGAAGGGTGCAACACCCTTTCCCTCCTGGGGAGGCATGGCGCAGTAGTTTAATGCATGGTCCATTCACTTTTCTGCTGCAAGCTGCCGGGCTCTGGATTAAGTCCTTTTGCCTCTGGAGCCGTGGCTGTGCTGGAGAGCCGCTTGTTGGGAGCACCTCGTGACCTTGGTAGGCGTGAAGGACATGCCGGTACTGCCCCCCCTTCCCATGAGACTGCAGTTGCTCCGTCACCGCAGGCTCATACCTGGTCTTCCAATAAGCTCTGAGGCAGCAGCCACCTTGCATGTGGTCCAGAGGATTTCTGCCAAAAGTCGCTGGGTTTCAAGATTTGTTTCTGAGTCTCTGGGACATGGCCCGTTAATCAGCTTGATAAGGAGCCAGAGGCCGTTTGTAGGCTGTGACTCGGGGTCTCACTGGGATGGGGAGGAAGGGCCGGTTCCACCCCCATCTGGTGAGACCCCATGTGTCTCGTCACTGCAGGCCCAAACCAGTGGCCTTTGGAGGATGGCGGTCACCAGGCTGCCAAGGGGAACAGGCCATGGCACGAAACCTATTCCCACCTGGAGTGGCCCAGTCCCAGTAACTTACGGCAGGAACAGGATGCATTTCTGCCAAAAGCCTTTGAGTTCCGAGATTCGCTTCTAAGTCTCTGGAATCATGACTGTTAAGCAGTTTGATTAGGAACCCGAGAGGCCATGCCTCCAATTATATAGCTGAGCCGGAGGTGGTTTGTGGGTGTGTCTCCCACATACCTAACTTTTGGCCATTTATTTTCTTGGTAAACTTTGCCCCAAGTTTCTGGGTCTGGCCAAAGGCACAGCAGCAATTTTGGGATATCTGAAAGTCTGACGGTGCCATCAGACTGTTGATGCACTCACCTCACAGGTACAGATTGACCTGCTGGCGGCACCATATCCCCTAGGTAAAGGTAAAGGCCCTCCCGTTGATCGTCGATTTGCTCGAGCGGGCCCAGTAACGTCTCCATTGGAGACTTTGTTGTTACTGTGTCTGGCATATCGAATACGTCACGGGGAGCTTGCCAGGCTCTGCCGCGCAGGCGAGATACTCTCGGTAGCTTCCCGGGCTCTCCGAGAGGGGCGGAGGAATCGAACTCGGGTCGGCCATGTTGGCCGCGTGTAAGGCGAACGCCCTACCCGCTGTGCTATCACTCCAGCCCATATCCCCTAAAATTTTTTTTTTAATTCATTGTGAATGTGAAAGGAAGAGATTCCTCCATTTATTTTGTGTTTTTAGGTTTGCAGGAAAAGCATTCCTTTTGGTAGGCTCTTGGTTGATGAGGTGTGTCTGGGGAAGTGTCACTCGGGAGTTCCACTTTGCTCTTATGCAAACCTTACAAGTGAGGGTTTCTTGGTTTCCCTCACTGAGGTAGTAGTTATAGGTTGCCTTCAGAAAATGACACCATTTTCCAGGGAGAGCCAGATGAACTGTGTGTAGCATGTTACTGCGGAGAGGGTCTGTTATGTGCATGGTTCTATGTGTGTTTTCCTGTACTTTCCAGGCCCCTCTGCACAAGAATTTAGGTCTCACATGCGCTCTGGGAAGCAGCACTAGTGTGATGCTCTGGAGAGATGGAGGGTGTGTTTTGCCAATGTGGGTTACACATGCAGCTATGGTGCTTCTTGAGCCCACTCACTGCACAGAAATCAACTCAATGGCTTATTTAACTAACATGAGAAAACAAATCTCCAGGGGCCAGAGAGATAATAACACTGGGGTCAAGGTTCTTCACTTACATACTGAGACCCTCAGCTCCCTAGCACCACATGTTCCCTGGTATACTGGTGACTGCAGGTCAGAGCCATACTACATCCTTGCATCCTTCAGCTTCTAGCCATTACACGGGATCACTGGGAGGGACCTCTGAGCACCATTTGGAACCCCTCCAAAAAATGTTTTTTTTTTTAAATGACTACAACAAACCATAAATATATATATAAATATAAAGGCCCTCCCGTTGATCATCGATTTGCTCGAGCGGGCCCAGTAACGTCTCCATTGGAGACTTTGTTGTTACTGTGTCTGGCATATCGAATACGTCACGGGGAGCTTGCCAGGCTCTGCCGTGCGGGCGAGATACTCTCGGTAGCTTGCCGGGCTCTCCGAGAGGGGCGGAGGAATCGAACTCGGGTCGGCCATGTTGGCTGCGTGCAAGGCAAACGCCCTACCGCTGTGCTATTGCTCCAGCCCAAATATAGCTATTGAAAATAGGTAGAAAATTATAACTATTTATCTAAAAGTATATATGCAAGTTGGTATAATGAAAAAGCACCAGTTTGGGGAATTTGATTTAATCTTATTTTGGTTTTGGGGCCACACTGGCTTAAGATTCTGACTGTTGGCAGTGCTCGGAGACTTGAGATTGCTGTGAATTAAGTCCCCAGCACCAGTTTTGTCACTGTTCAGCTTGCCTTTATGTTTGACCCCTTCACTAACAAAGATTTTGAGTAAATAGAATAACCTTATGAAATACCTGTTTTCTTACAAGATAGGGAGACAAATAATTTACAGGGTCTCTTCCTGTCCTCTGGTTTGTGACTCAGGACCAGATCAGTGGGCTGTGGCAGACCACTGCCACCTGGTGGCAGTTAAATAAATAGAAGGGATTGCATTACATAGAAAATCATTCTTGGTTGAGTGTATTTGTCTAACTTCTATGTGCCAGCATCATTTGTCTACTTTTTTTTTCTTGATAATATTGGCAAGTCATTTCAGACACAACCTGTAATAGACTAGCTGTGCAATCTTGAGGTCCTCATGTACTTCTTTTTGAGTCTTACGTGAAAAAAGAAACAGAAATAATACTCTGCTAATGTAGTTAGAAAATCTGAAGGCAGTGAATGCAAAGTATGTTTGCTGTGGGAAATAATATTCTGTCATAAAGAGTACCACTTGTCTTTGCAAAGGTCACCATTAGACAGGGGCAAGTAAGACAAAGAACCCCCTGCAGTATGTGATAAGCCTTGGAAATACAAAGTGGACACAAACCATGTTCCAGAAGCGGTAAAATCAAGTTCAATTAGACTAGAATACTAAAATCTGGTAGGAAAGTGCTGGAGACTTCCGGAAGAATAGGCTCTCTAATTACTAAGGAGGCATGACAGCAGGCAAGTTTGGACCAGAGCAGCAACAGCAATGAAGTGACTATCAGGTAGATGACAATATAATATCGGTGACGTGGCTAAAGGGCTGGAGTGATAGTACAGTGGGTAAGGCCTTGCATGCGGCCAACCTGGGTTTGATTCCTTTGCCCCCCT